CGGGGAGCGGTGTCCGGCGCTCACCTCTCGCCTCCTCTCCTCAGTGGGCGCCGCGGCTGTGCGGCTCCGGGCTGCGCCTCTTCGTCCATGTGGCCAACACGGTGAGTTGCGGCAGGCGGGTAAACAAGGCAGCAAACCCCGAGGTTGCTGGGGGTTTCGGAGGGAGGGAGTCTCGGTGGGAAGGTAAAAGTCGCGTTTGTTGGGAAACTGTAGGGAGGTTGCGGCTTCTCTGTGTAGTTTTGGGTTCACCCTGTCCCCCAGGTGGGATGCTGTGGGGAGAGAGAGCTGGCCTCTGGGGTGAGGGTGTCGTGGGAGGGTGTGGAGAGCCCGAAGCCGCCATCAGACTCAGAATACAGCCCCCGCCAGCTTTGCTCGGACGGGAAGGGGGTCAGGTCCTTCAAGCCCCCTGAGCGGGGTTTTCGAGAAGGCGGTGGAGGTGGCTGTGCCCCCAGCGCTCTTCCTTGGGCTTTGGCGTGGTCGATTCCCGCCGAGGCCCTTGCGGAGGAGGCACCATGTGGCAGGGGGCTGGGGGGAGAAAAGCCTGTGTCCCCTTGGCAGCGAGCGCCTTGCGGCACCATCCACCCAAAAGCCGGTGGATTTTGTTGCTGCTGGGCCTTTGGACCCAGTGTCAAGGTTAGGCATGAAAGTCTCGTTTCAACAGTGTGACCTGTTACGGAGCTTGGCAGCTGGTTGGGCCTGGAGCGAAAGCTAGCGATGGGGTGTGTTTATTCATGAGAATGCCTTGCAAGTGGCTTTTTTCCAGGATATAACAACCAGAATACCTATTTATCCTTTGCTTTGTGGCCGCTTCTGTGCGTGGCCCTGGGCTTGTTTCCTTTCTTGACATCCCCCTTGGAGGGGGGACGCAAGAGACTCAATCTCCTACAGGATTGTGCTGTCTTAGATTAGATGTAGATTAGGAGCAGTGTATTTTCAAAAAGAGATTGTAATTCCTATGTGATGTGTGAGGCAACGTATCACTTCATGGATCTAGGAGTGTGAGCCTTGTTTCAGACTTCTACTGTATTTGTACATCCCTTAACAGGTTTTTGAAGTCTGCTGTTGAGCTATTAAGACAGGCTAGAACAAGGCTGGTCTCCTTGGGACCGCTGGCATTGCTACACTGGGAACCAAGGTATTGAAAGAGTAAGTCTCTAAATTTCTCATGGTTTTCCAAGTTGACTCCGTTTACTGCAGGAGCTGGTTGAGTGATAGGAAAGATCCTAACAGTGGGATAAAAAAATAATAAGCTTCTACCTTATCCAATGTTTGCATAATTTGCAGAACATGAAGAAAGTAACAGATGGGAGCTATATATATGCCTCTTAACAGTGTTGCAGCCTCCTGCTGCTGGCTTTCCAGGCCAAGTCAGGGAAGGACAAAGGCAGGAGAGCCAAAAGAGTACACTCTTTATATAAACGAGAGGTGGGGGGAAAGCATTTTGGGCCAATTTTGTGGCCTGAAATAAAAGTATTTGTGCTATTTTTTTACTACATAGCATTGCATGCTCTCTAGGGTGCTCTGAGACTGCAGCAATTGTGAGCACATTCAGCATTCCTTGTCTAGCGAGGAAGGTGTTCAGGTCAAAGTTACTGCAAACCAGTGTTTCTGCTTACTTTCTTCTAGGCTTTTGGACAGATCTGCTTACTGCCATTCTTCATACGGTAAGAGTGGGGAGTTTTCTCCCCCTCCAAGTTTCTTTTTTTTTAAAGGTATTTGCATTGCACACCACTTGCAGGTTATCTGTGAGGGAAGCTGCATAACTTGATGGGAGAGTAAGCAAGATTATGTCACAGATGTTGTTTACTAGGTTATTTTTTTTAACTACTCTGGTTGGAGTGGGTCTCTATCAGAAGAAATTAACCTTTCTTCACACTCAGACAAGCGTATAGAAATTCGCCAGCTTACCTCTTTGCCTTTCTGTACTTTTGCTAAGAGCAGTCTTTCTTTCAAAGCTTGGTGATGTGCAAATCTGCTGTGTTTATCACCAGCAGTGGTAAAAGAATAGTAGTCATGGGGAAATGAGGCCGGACGTGTTTTTTTTAATTAACTATTTTAGATCAGCCTTTTCTCCTTCTCTCTCATTTATGTTTTTGTTTAGAAACTGTGCTTTCAAGTGTACATTGCACTAAGAGCCACCCAGGTTAGAGGTGTCAGGAACCGCAAGCTCACACGTGGCTCACATAGTTTGCCCGTCATTTGATGGGTCATCAGGACGCTGAGAAATGTATTACGTACACAATTGGTACCCCTGAATTTTTACTTGGGGCATGGGCTTTTTGAGTGAATCAAACGCAGACAAGTGTCACTGCTGTTATACAGCAGATCATTCCTTGACATCTGTGACAGGGTCTTGATTTCCTTGCTTCATTCCGTGTTCCAAGCCCTGGACTCGTGCTGCAATCCCTGTTGCGTTTGGTTGTGAACGAACTGTGTTGAAGCAGGTCATGGAAAAGGCTGAAGAGGTGCTTGTTTTAACAGAATTAGTGCTTGAATGTATGGCTTATACTACTTTCTCCTTTTCTTTTCCTCTCCATTCCTGTCTTCATTGGTCTGTGGGTGATATGTCCAATTAAAGTGAATCGAAAACTTTCACCAGTTCTTTCCCAGCTTGGGTTGACAGAGGCTGTCTGGCCTTATGTCAAGAAGTAAGAGGCTTTGTTAAGCAAGCAGAATAGATTTGATGCTGCCTTTAGGAAAGGTGTGAGAGAGATTATCTTGTAACTGTTGCAACTCCCTGCTGTGGGAGCAGACTGCTAAGACAAAATGTTCTTGGGTAAGGGTACCTCTGAGCAGTCTGAAAAATTAGTCATGGTAGAGCTTGCGAACTCTAGCAGTGACTCTCTCTCTTTCAGGCTGAACAACTTATCGCTCATGCGTTCACTTGACATTCACGAAGATCCCACGTTTATCCCGGAGGTTGCTGCGGAGGTTATGGAAGACAAGTCTGAGGCTAAAAGGACTTCGGATATTATCGAGCAGCTGATAGATGCAAGGTCAGTATGTGATGTGTAAGCGTGGAGTGGAAGAACACACGTGCGGGCACTATTATATTAGTGGGAAGCTGTCGTTGGATTAAAATCTTTTTCCACGCCTGGCTACTTTGCAAAACAAATTGTGCTGTCAGTTGTCTTTCCTTTTGTAACTTATAAATCACCAGTAGTTACGAGCGATATGAAGTTTCTACAAGCCTCAGGGAGTCTGCTTACTGGGGAGAGACCAAATTCCGCCCTTGCCAGGGCTGTGGTTGCACTGTTAGAGCAGATGCACTTCGTGGTTGGCTAGTCAGCACATACATCCCTTTAAGTGAGTTTGCAGGTGAGCTGTTTCTTGCCTGCAAGGAATCTCAAAGAAAACACAGGGGTTGCTTGGAGGAGAGAAGGAACATAGAGTATAAAGAAAACGATCCACCACAAATTAGGCTTTGTTAGTTAGATTGCTTGGTTAAAAGCCTGTTCAGCTTCTTGATTGCAGTCTGTACTTGATTAAATCCCACTAGATTCCAGGCAAAACGTTACTCAGGCTCACTTGTCTTGCTGAGGTGGGAGCAGCTGGGCTGCTGTGAATGTTCTCCCCAGCTGGTTTTCTTCTTAGTTGGGGGCCTGTCCAGTAGTTACTGAAGATGTCTATGAGCTGCACTTCATCAGCATCTCAGAGAGTGGGTTCTCTGTATGTACCTCTGCTTTTAGCAAGACTAAGCTTGCTCCCTGCTTGAGTTCTTAAGCTAAAGCAAGGAAAAACTTTCAGCTCCTTCACTTTAGAGGAAGGGACCTTAGAGGAAGGGATGTATTTCCTACAGGCATTGGTCAGGGCAAGTGCAGCCTTCTGGTTCTTGTCTCTCCAGCTCCACCAGTGATATATTGAGTATTACTTACTGGAGCCTTGCCTCTTCCCTGCACGGCACATTACAGTGCCATACGCTGTCCTATTCCAGGATATGGCTTCTGGTCTGGGTAATGATATGGAGACATCACAGGAGTAGTAATTGTAGCTGGCTCTTCAGATGATCTTACATTCATCCTGTTGTGATGAGAAATGGTCTATTTCTTAAGTGCTAGTGCCATCAATTTCATTTTTAAGCAGTTTGCTGATGTGAATCTTTGTGTGTGCTGCATAATGTCTCTTCCCACTCCCGCACCACACGCTGTATGTGCTGCTGGCTATCCGGATCAAACTTGGGACAGAGAGCCTGGGAGTAGGTTGACCAGTATTTTCTAGCTATTCTGTAATGCTCCAGTGGTGAGTAGCAAATGTAAACCTGGCATAGATTTTGAACAGTTTAGCAACTGCTGTATTGCAGCAGAAATACGAAGCATCTAGAATGTGTCAGCAAGACTGACCCCGTATTTTTGTGACACCCTTAGTGTACCTGGTGTCTTGTGTGTGTGCAAGGAGTCTGACAGAGTGTGAGCTGAAATGCATAGGCTAGCGGTCCGAACGGTGACCAGCAGGTTTACTGGAAGTGGGTGATGCCCAGCCTGCATTGGACTGTGGTACTGAAGTCTGCAGGTCTAAACAGAGGTGGCTTTGATGGTTCACAGTTGCCTCTTTAACCCTTTCTTTGCAGGTCTGATTCTGCTAGCAATGGGTTTAGCTTCAAAGGGATTAAAGACTACCTGGACTGCTACCGGTAGGTGAAATTGTGGTCTGGGAACAACCTGTCTCGCATGTTTCCCTGCTGTGGGCTGCTACTGTTCCACAAGCTGTCAGGCATCTCTTTGTTAGGGTTGTCCTTGAGGTACCACTGTTTAGCATCGCCCTTTGCAATCCTTTCCCTTTAGTAAAATAATGAAGGAAAGCCAACTTGGGGAGCTGGCGCAACTTTTACAAGCCTGCAAGGATGTTTAAATGCTGTTTTCCTTGACTTATTGTCAGTCTTCTCTGGGGGAGATTTCTACATACCTTGTTTGCCCAAACACGAGTGAGAAGGAGATCAAGGTTCATCTAGATGTTGCGAGTTGCACATACTGTGGGTCTCTGAAGTATCCTTTGGTTCCCCAGCTGCTTGTGCTCCTGTGAGCAGTTTGACTGCTTTCACCAAGTAAATATGTCCAGCTCGGGAACAGCTGGAAGCACATCCCTAGCTCTGAGGTTCTGCGAGCTGTTGACTGCTCGGTAACTCCTGGTTGCCTCTGGGACATGTGCTGGATGTGGAGCGCGCAGATAAATCCTCTTGCACTCTGGGCACGTGTTCCTCAAGGGCCAACTCTGCCAGTAGACTGCGGCCTTGGAGCAAAAGGCTGACGCTGCAGTCTGGAGTTAGAGGTGCATCCTGACTGTGAGGCTTTCGTGTCAGCCAGATAGATGTGTTTGTGGTGGGAGGGAAGCCCTGGCTGGTAAAGGTGGTTTATGGCAGTACTGCTGGGAGCCCCTTCTCTGTAACGGGAGGCCAGTATAAAGGTGGCTGGCCTCTTGGTCCTAGCTCATGCTACTGGGAATTTCATAGCCTTAGGCTTTCAGGAGCTTGAGGACTCTCTGTAAAGCTGTCAGCTGTCCTTCCCTGTTTATCTGGTGGTTCAGGAATATCTAGGTAACTCTCCTAGCTCCTGCCCCTACTCTAAGGGTTGGGGGCGTGCTGTGTAGGCAAATTCTCCCCTTAAGGAAGGGAGTCTCCTCTCTTGATGGCGTCAGCTGTGTTGAAATCATCACCACACGCAGATTCTTACATAGTTCTTGCTTACAGCTGTGACAGCTGCCGTCTTGCTACATGAGAGACAAACCCTGTGTGTGGGTGTGGGGGTCTTGTAACAAGGTCCCAATTTCTCCTGTCCTGTAGGAGTGGGAAGCTGACACCGTCTCAGGTAGCAAAGAACATCATTGCCATGCTGGAGGACTGCGACAAATCCACGCCCCCACTCAGAGCGATAGTGCAATGGGACCAGGAGCAAATAATGCTGGTAATGTCTGCCTCTGGTAGGAAAGGGGCCTCTGCCACCCCAAGAGCAGTAGCATCCATTAGAAGGGGCAGAGGCTCTTCTGCTGATATATTGCACGGATAAATATGTACATTTTTCCTACCTCCTTGTGTAGAGGACTACAAACAAGTTTGCTTTCCTTCCTGCAAAGAGAGGTGGCATTAAAGCAATCTGTTTCCTGCTGGACAGCTATGTTTAAAACAGGACTTCTCTACTTATGTGGCATCCGTTAGCATAGATGCTTCCAAGTAGTAGCTTCCCATCAGCATATGGTGGAAGAAGAAAGAAACTTTTATGGTTTGGCTTAGTAGAAGCCTGAGAGTGCCATTTTTGGTATCTGTTCTGATACTGGTAATGACCTTCAGCTCGACTAAATATATATAAAGTATAGGGTTTTTTTCTCTGTGCAGATGGCTGAGGCTTCCACTGCTCGTTACAGGAATAAATGTACCCTGTCTTATCTGGATGGCATCCCAGTGTGTGTGAAAGAAGAGTTCAAAGTGGTGAGTTTCCTTGTCTAGCTGTCCGTTCATGCTGCAGGTGGTCAACCTGGACAACTCACTGTGACACGGTTTTAAGGCCAACGCCTCGGCAGAAGCCTGAGAATATGCTTGTAATAAGGGGCAGTATGTGGGTTTGTAATGAGTAGGATTAACAAGTTTTGCCAGCAGACGTGTTCCGTATCTTGTACTGATCTCTCTAATCCATGGGGAGTAGAGGGTGAGGGTGGGAACAGTCCCTCTTAGGATGAAATGAGAATGTATGAAAGCATCTGTAGCGGTGGGTGTAACTGTCTGTTTCTCAGGCACTGACTGCTCCACTGGCAAACCATCCCTCTCTCCTTACCTTAAAGGATGTACTTGTGTCAGAACTATGCAAGTTACTTTGAAAATTCCCACTCACAAGGAGTTTTGCCTGTGGCCTAACAACAGTTACCATTAAATACTCCTGGCAGTGCCATCAAGCTGTCGTAGGCTCTGCAGAGACCTACCCATAGGGTGGGAGTCTGTTTATGTACAGATTCTGCCATTGCTGCATTGAAGTGAAGAGTACTTAGCATACCCTGAAAATGAGTCCATCTGGTATTTTGGCATCCATCTAATCTTGATGCCTTGCTTCAAAGCGCTGCAGATCTGAAACACTGCAGCTCTGTCTGTAGAAAAATGGAAAATAGAGCTCCTGTGTGCTCTGGGGCCAAGGTGACTGTTCTGCAGCCTCTGGGCATAGCAATTGCATCGCAGCAGGGAGGCAGACTTTTGGCCATCTACATGTTTCTGCTTTTCTGTATCATGGTATTAAAAGGACTCCTCTGCAAGGGAGAAGCACCAAATACTGAAGGGTTACGTGTCCCTCCTAACAGAAACCAACACAGGACAAGTTGAAGGGTGAAGCTTCCTAGCCCTTACTTACCTCTGTGGGTCCTCGTGTCTGGGATCTGTTGTGGAGTTGAAGTGTGCATGTGAAGCATGCACGTGTGCCTGCCTACCTTGCCAGGGTTTGAGGATGAATAATAAGGTGTCTTCTTGCTAAGGTACCTTATCATCACCGAGTGGGAACAGTGTATCTTGGGACAGAGCCCGAAACAGAAGATGCTACTGTGGTCAAGAAGCTGCGAGAGGCTGGGGCTATCATTATTGGGGTCTCAAACATGCATGAACTAGGGACTGGAACAACTGGATGCAACCCTAATAGGTAAAAATCCCTTTCCCCTCTCTTCCTCTGGGTCTAGAAAGACCTAAAAGTCTGTCCAGAACTGACAGGGAAGGGCACAAAAATAGGGCAAGCATGTGAGAATAAAACTGACGGAAGCACCTTGTGCAGGGAGAATCCCGGGCGTATGAAAACCCAGCATTGTAGATTTGAGGGTCAGAGTAGCTATGGAAGCCTGAAGGCTCCTGAAACCAAAGGAAGGAGAGGATCCAAGTGGTGTCTGCTGAGTAAGGAACTTGGTTTGCCAGGCCTTACACGCCTGGAGGTGTGAATGTTTACAGGATGAGTGGTAGACAAAAGCAGTGACATAAAACAAATAAATAGTAATCTAATGCTCAGTCACAGTAATGGCTAAAGGCCCAGAACAGTGGGAAAAGGCACAGTCATCTCAGGAGAATGCAGTGTTCTTATTTCCTAGCTAAAACAGGTTCATTGGAATTTGCTTTACTGTTGTGAATTCTCCAGCTACAGCCAAGCTGGGAATGCAGAGCGATGGTCCTCACAGCCTTGATAAGCCATGTGCAGAGCCACGCTTTGTGCGTGTGCAGCTGGACGGAACTGGGGCTCCCCCTCAGCTGCGACAATGTGCCAGGGCATTTCCTCACTGCGTGAGGTCAGCTGGATCCCCCGCCGCCTGGCAGGTCTCCTTGGTGTCTGGGGACTGTGGTCAGACTGGAAACTTTGGGAGCTGCTGCTCTGGAGTAAAAGGCAGAGCTGGGGATGCTGACTTGCTTGTCTGTAAGAATTGCTGGCCACCAATTTCTCCACCTTTTGGAACTGCATAATGCACTGTGGCATGCAGTAATGGGACAGTGCTGTCGCAGACAGGAGAGCTGGAGCGGCATCCTTTCTCTTGCTTTGAGTCTGTCTCTTGTGGACAGGCTGCTTATGGTAAGAAGAGATTGGACTCTGAGACAGAAGTCTTTTTTGCGTCTTGTTTTCTAGGGACATAGCACTACCTGGGATGCAATGGTATCTCTTTACTAAGAGATCAGAATCCCTGAGCTGTGTTTCTGGATCTTTTCCTGCCCTGTAGTACACGCAGTCCTTCCTAGGAAAAGATTGAACACTATTTGTCTGCCTCAGGTACCACAAGATCCCTAGGAATCCCTACAAGCCTAACCACTTCACAGGTGGGAGCTCCAGTGGGTCAGCAGCAGCTGTAGCAGCAGGTAGGTGGTCCTAAACGGAGTTCAGGGGTGGTGGGAGGAAGGTCCTGAGCCAAAGTACCTCAGGCATTTAGTTTTTATGAGTGGGTTTAGAAGCTGGAGGGAACTCCTAGCTGAACAGAGAGCTCTGTGTGCTGTCTTGGCTACAGCTGCTGGTAGAATGGACAGGGCAACACAATGCCTCTCTGATCACAGGCCAATGTGTGGGGTTTTTTTGTAGGTCTCTGCCCGGTGGCTATTGGCACAGATGGAGGCGGCTCTGTGAGGATTCCTGCTTCGTTATGCGGTGTGGTGGGGCTGAAAGGTAGAGCCCTTTAATCATGGAGGGGGTGTGTGTCGTGTTTGCTGTATCAGATAGAATGCCACAAACAAGTCAGGCACGGTCCATTAATTCCGGTCAAGTAAAACTCAACCGGAGAAACTCTGGAGTATAACACTGAGAGTCACGTGGGTTGGACTGGCAGAGTGGAAGTCTTCTCAGTACTGGCTGTTGAACGGATGTTCAAAAAAACCTAACTTATTTGAGTCAAATGCTAAACAAAACATGCTTGCTGCTTTTCTTTCTACCCACTCGTCCCTCTCCAATCTTCCTTCTCTGCTGGGAGGTGTTCCCAACATAGTTGGGTATCTGTAGTGAGCTGGTGAAAAGCATCTCCACCCACGATGGTTTGCCATAAGCCCAATTATATGGAGAGGCTGATGCTGCTCAGACTTGTATCTGGTAAGTTAAACCTGGTAATAGGCTTGTATGAAACCAGGATGTAGCCATTCCCTCTTACCTCAGTGTTACAAGAAGCAGCAATGCCGTTTTTGCAGTAAGAATTAATGTAATCAAGGGGAATGTGCAGAAGACATAAGAAATGCACAGGGCAGTGTCTACAGCATGGGAGGTGGTGAGGCAGGGTTGTCACTTGGAAGAGATGCCAGCTTTTTGGAATGGTTTATCATTCTGAAGGATCTTGGCTGCTTCATCTGAGACCAGATACTCAGCCATTACTCTGTTTTTCCATCCTTCACATGTGATCAACTTGATTCATCTTGATTAATCTGAGGAAGATAATGATGACGATGACAAAAATGTAACTGGTCAGAAAGGCGATACGAGTACTCACAGATGTCAGCTGGTGTGAGGCACGAAGTCTCACTGGTGAAGCGCGTGAGATCTCCCAGGGTGTGGTATCTCCTGCTGTTGATAATCCTGCTCCTGCCTGTCCATCCTCCATACCGTAGATGCTGCTTCTGCATATTTAAATGCATGTATTTCAAAATGTCCCTGCACGTATTTCCCCTCAAGTAAATAATTTCTTACGGGGGAAAACAGTTTCACTATTTGTTGAACGCATCTGTTTCACTGATGAGACAGATCATGGCGAGCAGAACAGGGTATTGAAAGATGAGTGACTGGGCTCTGAAGAGGCAGACGTGAAAGTGACTGGCAGGCATGTGTTGCTTACCGACTGGGTGTACCAGAGCCATCTAGGTCAGATCTTACCAGCGACTGCTGGTGTCTAGGTAACTGCCCATTTCTTTTTCTCTAGGTACGTTTGGGCGCATCAGTTCTCATGGCAGCTTGCCACTCTCCTACTCCACAGTCAGCGTAGGTAAGAGGATTTGTGCTGCACTTCAGGGACCTTGCTGTGTGGTGTTCTCACAGGGGAGGCAATCTGTGCCTACAAAAGATCTTGGGAGGAAGGTACTATTTACCCCTTGTCACATTTTTATAACTGGTCTCTTTTACAGGCCCTATCTGTACCTCGGTGGCAGATGCAGCCATTGTTTACAGTATCCTGGCTGAGCTGGATCCACTCTATCCGTATGGTAGGTGAGTCCTCTCCCTCCCTGAGCCCAGGTGCTCTGCCTTCCTAGAGGCATCCTAGATAAAAGAAGGAACTCTTGTTTGTTCCCTGCAGGACTGAAACAGCCCAAAGCAACCCTATCTGATATGTGTGCTCCTGACCTGAAAGGCTTAAAACTGGGAGTGGACTGGACGTTTTTTAAGGTGCCTGTTCTACCTCTCTCTTTCTGCTGCTTTGCAAAATGAGATTTTGAAGGAGTTCAGTGCATTCACTGTTCTCTTGCCTGTCATCATTAGAGCTTCTCATATTTAGTCCTATAATTGGAAGAAAATATAGCCTGGGTGAAAACATCGACAGGGATGGATTTTTTCCTAAGGCAGCCTTTTGAGTAACAGTCTGTTGAAGGCATGAGGAAAGGTAACGACTGTACAGTTGATGGCAGTATGCTTCCTCATACTTCTGCTTCTATTGGAAGCAATGCTTCTGAACTGATTACAAAAGGCAGTTAGTTTAAAATCAAATGAGGAAAATAGGTGTATCCATTTGTGACAACGCTGTAGCTGCTGAATGGTATTTCATCATTCCAGTGTAGAAACTGGACTTGCAAGCTAGTAGCGCTTGGCAATTGTAATGCAACCCCACAAATGTGCTCAGGATTTCTTCCATGGATGAAAACAAGGGCTCTTTCTGGCTCTGCTCCAGTGCGGAAGAGGAACATCCTCTCCTCTGGAAAAGATGACCTTTCCTCCTCCATAGGGGTATGACCTGCAAGCTGTTTTCTTGGAGCAGGTGGCCTAAGGCAGTCCTGGAGGGCTGTGTTTCACTACTGTTAGGGACAGGAACACGGAAAGCTCCATGAGGACCGAAGACCTGGTGAGTGTGCTCACCAAGGAAAGGAGGGCAGTGACTAAAGTCTGCTTAGTTCTTTCCTCTTTTTGTCCAGGCATGTGATGCTGAAGTCCTGTCCATCTGTGAGAAAGGTAAAGAGGAAAAGTTTGTAAGTCTCTTATTCTGCCTGATGTCATGGTATCACTTGGTGCTCCTCTTATGTGTGCATTAAAAAGATCTCACCTGAAGTCCGTAAAGGCAGATGCTTAAAGAGGTCTGGCTGGACAAACAACAGTAGCTTTGTATTAGGGAAGCCCTCCTGACTGCTGAGGGTTAAAAAGCTCGGCAGCTTTTCCATTTTTCCATTGTCGGGTTACAATGGAAGAATGCAATCCAGTGTGCTGAGCCTCTGTCTGTATAAAGACAGATCTGTGCTCAGTAACACTTACTCTGCAAGCTTCAATGGTAAAAGACTTTTAAGGGGGGGACTCGTTTCACAACATAATGTTCAGTAGGGGAGACAGGGCTAGGTCTTTGTGATGTATCCAGTCTTCTGGTATTTCCTTGAAATCAACCAAATGGTGCCTTTAGGGTGGCTTTGTCAGATTTTAGACTAAGCAAAATTGACCCTGGTGAGTACTTGGGGGAGTGGGGGAGAAAGACTCTACAATGCCTGGTGTAGTAGTTGGCCTTCTATGCATCGGAGCTGAGACAGCTCACAGTATTCAGGCTTTGTTTGCCTGCATTTTCTTCAGCCTCCTTATTTCCATAGACCCTCACATGTGTAGAGTTTTCTTAGGAGAGATGCGCCACAAGCCAGTGAAATAGGCACGCTTGGGTATTTACGAAGAAGTTGGGGTCAAAGAAAGAAGGGGATTTTTTTTTTTTAGGCTGCAAAAGATTCACTTTTCCCGAAGTCCTGGTGTTCAGCCTTGCTAAAGTGCATCAGGATTTAGTGAACCTGTACTGTTGACCTGGTCTCTTGAGTGTCCCCCAGGTTCCTCTACCATTATGGTTGAGAAGAGGCTTTGAATGGGAATCTCATGGTGCTAAATAATCACTTTAGGCTGGTAAAATACCAGTCATGTCAAGTGCTCGGGGAAGCATTGGCAGGCACCTTTACTCTTTGGGTTAACTGGGGGGCTAGAGGGAGGAGATGAACTTGCCCGAAATGTAGCGGCTAAGTTAGGAACCTGTCTGCAAGCCCCTGCCCCTGCCCTGTGGGAATATTGAGATCTAGTTAGGCTGAAGGCTTTTACCTACGAGAAGCGGCTGCAGCAGTCTGCGTGCCACGTGATGCACTGAAGATGCTTGCCTCCTAACGGCCGGTGGGGTCTCTAACTTCTCGAGGGGGTGGGGATTCACAGCCCTTCTGTGACATTTGGTGAACTCACGGATGCTCTCTGTGCTTCACCTGTTCTGTACTCAGCTGTGGAGCACCTGCAGAGTTTGGGAGCCAGCGTGGTTGCAGTGTCTCTTCCAGAGATGGAGGAAGTGCGAGTAGCCCATGTCATCTGCATTCTCAGTGAGATGAGGGATTTCCTGCAACCTGACTTCAATAAACATTACCAGGACATGGTAAGTAGCAGCAGCTTGGATCAGTGGCAGTAGTTGTCCCGGCTAATACAGAACAAATGTCATGTCAACGAGAAACCTGAGGCTCTCCTGCTTTTTCTATGACAAACCACTTGTTGGATGACTGCTGGTACAGGAGAGGAGACCTGCAAGAGAACTCCTGGGCTGTCATGTTCAGATTTTTGCAAGCAGAGCCATGATCGGTGTTTTCTCTTTCAGAATTTGGACACTCGGGCTAACCTGGCCTTGGCTTCCCAGTTCACCGCTCTGGATTATATTACGGTAAGGAACATACTGTGGTGAAGGCTGAAGGGAGGCACCTAGTGAAACGGTAAAGGTGGGGTAGAGGATTCTCTTAACCTCCCCGTACACGTGGAAAGATATCACCCAGCTGTACTGCCCTCCGCTGTGAAAGCGTACTGAATGGTGGGGCACCACAGAGGACCGTGGATTGGTGTCCTGCCTGTCGATTCCAAATTGCAGGAATGGTGTCTTCTTTTGCAAAGGCGTAGGCTCTGATGGGCAGAGTCTGTCATCATCAAACATGAGCCTCATGAACCAAGAGGGCCCGGTCAGACAGTAGTCTCTCTGCTTGCAGGCAAATCGACAGAGAACTCGGAGCATGAGATTTTTGCGAGAGATCTTCACCACTGTGAACTGTATCCTTACACCAGGTATCGGCAGCCTTGCCCAAAGAGCTGGTCCCCGGCAGCTGTGTGGTGCATTTTAAGAACAGTTACTCCATTAACTTTCCCTCCCCAATTTTAAGAGCATGACTTTTGTGCAAAGACTTTGCTGTGCCTCAGGCCTTTAGAAGATAATGCAGCCTGGTTAGAAAGACTGCTGTGCTTTTCTAGATTTGCTGTGTATTTCTAGACTTACTGCTTATATCCATGGCAGTGAGAAACTCTTTCTTGGTACTTGAAACAGGAGTGACAGAGCCAGCACGTTTACACAGGAGGGACTGGACATCTGCTTATGTATGCAAATGTTCTTGCTCTAAACAGAAACTAACTGCTTAATTCATAAATCCCAGTGACTTGATTGCATTCCAGGGGCATGAGTTTGCATCACCAATGTATATCAAACATGTGGCTTTAATGAACCGAGCTGTTCCTTGGAAGATTGCGCACTGCCTGTTTCTTCCTTTGCTCTTTAAGCACTGGATCAGGTTGCCCAGAGAGGCTGTGGAATCTCCATCCCTGGGGATATTCAAAAGCCATTCGGACATGGTCCTGGGCAACCTGCTCTAGCTGACCGTCCTTGAGACAGAAGGCTAGACAAGATGACCTCCTGAGGTCCCTTTCAGTCTCAGTCATTCTGTGATTCCTCCACAGCTGTTGCTTGCACTGCCCCAAGAATCTATGAATCTGACCTCCTGACTGGCAGCAGCGATTTGTCCTTCACAGCCCGGTCCATGAGGTAAGAAGAGCGCTGCTTGCGCTACAGAAGCAAAAGTTTGGGAACAGCTGGAGACTCGCTGCACTAACTGAAGGAGCTCAGGCTGTAAAGCAGGAGAGAGCGATCCTAGCTGCCTCTCCCAAAAAAGGATGGCTTTGCTGCTGTCCCAAGGCA